TATATATATATATATATATATATATATAATTTTATTTCAGCTTTATTTCAATTAATGAAAACGATTTTTAGCTTTAGTTTTAATAACAACACGTAAAAAACTGATATTTATGTTCTTAAGTCCTTGACATCTGCTCTAGCTCTCCTAGGAGTGTTCTTTTGTGAATAAACAATCTGTCACTGTTTTGACAAATTTAGGCTTTTTTATGAATCAGTTGATCAAATTCACAAAACTGATCTGAATGATTCGTTGAATCATTAGTAGGCCTGCAGTTCAGTCACCATTCATTTTAATTGCATAGAAAAGATAGACCAGGACATTCTTCAAAATGCTTACTTTTGTGTTTCCAAAGAAATATCAAAGTCATTTAGGTTTGGAACAACATGAGGATGAGTAAATGATCTTTTTTTTTTATTCAGTCATTCTTTTCTGGCTGAACTATTGCTTTAAGAATGGTATGTGGCAATATTAATGGAAAGAAAAAGAAAGAGCTTGCGCCAGAAAGATATTGTGCTCTGCCAACCAGCACACTCTGTACAAAATCATGCTCCTTCGAGAAAGCTCTGACTGAAAGTGTGTGTGTAAGAGAGATATGCATCATCATTAATCTCAATGTCACTGGCAACATTTTAACAACTACTTATTTTAAACTGTGTCCCTGCAGTGCGCATATAGAATATGAATTGTCAAGTCAGTGACAAATAGAAGAGAGAGTCAAAGAAAGTTAGTAGGCACTTTCTTGATTGCAAGTGCTGTTTCCTGTCCTCAGGTGGGGGGCGGAGCTGTGGTGTTCATGAACTCATCTGCGCTAGAAGAGGTGAGAGCATCTTCCTCATCCACGATAACATGCACCGATTGCTCCTGAATATTTATTGTATTACTAATTTATACTTTGTAATAGATAAAATATGTTTGTACCCCTTCACCTTCCTTGTCCCACACTTCTATCAATTATGAATGGCCTATCAGGTTTGGTGAACAAAAACAAGGGTCATTATTAATTCACGACAAAGGATTGTGTTACTATGAGCAGGAAGACCTATGTGTAAACAACACAATTTCTACTACGTAGTGGCTGATATTTAAATAAGCATGTCTTTGTCTCTGGCTATCACAGCCACAGAGCAAAGGGGAAGATTTTGTTACATAACAGTAGGCAGCAGTGGAAGATTATGGCTGAAATGTCAAAAATTGAGCGTAGCGGCTTTGCCTTATGGGATTTGAGTTCATTTGGATTAGCAAATTCGCATTTGCTTGCATTGTCACATTATAGGGTAACTCATAGATCTGAAAAGCATACTGTTACGTACATGTAGAAAGATATTTTCTGTAGTGAAAAGATCTCTGTATAGTACAAAATGCTATTTAGTGCTATATAGTCTAAACTTGTTGGTGGTTCAAGTGAGCACTACTTAGTGGACGTGTCTTAAGTAAATTTCAGTGTCTCTGAAACATATCTTCCAAATTATTCTGTATAATCTGTCAGCCTCATGATATCCCTGTCTATCTATGGTCCAGTTAGCATGTGGACATGTGTTTGCCACTTATATACGAGCCAATCCAGTTTCAGGTTAATGTAGGGTAGGTTCCAATGGAAGATCCAGTGGTATTGTGTGCACAAAGTGTGAAGGGGCATCCAGTTACCTTAGACTAGTGAATTATTCAGCACTGGGAGAGATAGATTCAAGACGGGTGCTATAGATTCACTCACTGCAAGAGATGGAAGGCAAACGTTTTAAATATGGCCTAACTGATCTATGAGGAATAAGGAACATTGGCAGATGAGATATAAAGATTCACAAACGGACTATAGAAGAGATTATTGGATTCAGGAGATATCGAAGGACTCCTTGTTATCTGCAGGTTGTGGTAATATTTGCTGGAGTGTTGAGTGCTTTTAAAGTTTTTTTTTTCTGATCGTAATGCACTATTTTTGCTATTACATAAACGGAATAAGTAATTTAGATAAAATATTTCCATTAATAATATAAGGAAATTTGGCACCGATCTAGCTTCTGGTACAAAAGTTTAGATAACTGCTTTGTACGTTTTAAATTAAGGTTTCACTTAAATCTTTAAAATGTATATTAAATTAATTGTATAATGCAAATTAGAAACATCTTCATTGGTGGTCATATCTGTTGGTCCCCACATTATTTTGGCCTATACTGCACATTTAATTTCTTAGTGAGTTGCATTTGTAAAGGTTTAAAAGTAGTTAAAAATTCTCTCAATGATCTTATGCAATATATCAGTCATCTGTATGTTTTTATAAAAACATGAAAGTAATACAACAACGGCAATGTGATTTGTGCCATACTGACACTGAGACTAACTTTTCTTTTAAGGAAATGATACCAAGGTTTATTGTTCTGTCAATACTGGAGGATAGCATGATAGACTCATTACCATTACCATCTACAATGCTTGTCTGTTATCTAGGTAGATCAAATTCTCAACTCTTGACCTTTACTTTCTCAGCTTTTGTCCACCAGCACTATGCTTTCTCTTCCTCTGTTTCTCTAATTTCCTTTAGTATCTCCTGAACTGCTAGGTGTCCTGTCCTCCATTGCTGTCTTCATGGTCGTGATCGCTCTGTTTTTTCTTTACCTCAGCAGCAAGTTTTCAGTGGAGAGCCCAAGCAGTGAGCTGCCACATTTTGAAGGTTTTAACAAAGGTTTGCAAGGTAAATACAGGGTTTTCAATGAATGTGTACATGTGTATGGCTGTGTATCAAATCCTAGTGAGTAGGCCCTCTAGCATTTCTAAGGTCCATTGTAAATAGAAAAAAAAAATTACAAGAAATTGCAAAATCAAGCGTAATGTCAGTTCTGGCAGACCACGTTAGTCAAGCTAGCATCAGCTGACTCTCAGTTGATCCATGTCTACCTATAGGAATGTGACACCTATCACAGCACTCATATATAAGGTCCTTCGGTATTATCACCAGCTTTCGCGTTGCTCAATAGCTAATTACCCTCCTCCATCCCCAACTCCTCCTCTCGCCAGTCAGGATTCAGCCTTCTGATGCTCACTGAATCAGACTAATTTCTTAAATGTTACATTAAATTTTTAACCTTTAAGATATCTGCAATACATTCATGTTAGCTCTGTTTTGGTTACCCTGGGGGAGGGGGGGGGGGGGG